TATTATATTTGTTTTCCTCTTCTTTTTCGTTTGCTTCCTTTAATTTTTTCAGATGTTATCTTTTATTCACATTACTTTCCATTCTTTATTTTAATCTAATTTATTTTCTCTTTTTTCCTTTCCTTCCCTCTGCTTTAAATTCAGACATGAAAAACCTCTCTTGGGATTACTGCAGGTTGTTTGTCACTTGCTCATCTCATCCAGCTTGTTGATGACAAACTATAAATAGAGTGTGCGGGACTCAGGCGGCCCTCCACTTTTATATATTAACTTCGCATGGCCTATATAAGCTCTAATGAGGTTGGTTTACACAGTTTCTTCTTGTTGCTTCCCCCACTTTGAGAGCATCAGGGAGCAGATGTGGTGCAGAAAGACCAAACTAGCTTTGCTCTCATATATTTGTCAGTCCCTGAGGACAACTGAATGACTTGTCAGTAGCCAGATCTGCGCTTGTGTTCTCACTGGTGTTAGTTTATATCAGTTTGGGTTAAAGGTTTGGGATTTGGAAAAAATACAAAAAGATTTGGGAAGAATCAGGAGCTGTTATAGTCATATTTGTCATCTTTATTCACGAGATAAAAGTGTAAATAAACCTAATGAAGTTCTTTCACAGCCAAACTTAATATTTACACACTAGAATCCAGTCATATAGGCAGGGAAACAAAAAACAACACAAAACTGTCTGGCATATTGTTTAGATAACAAGTCGAAAGGAAAACAAAAAGTACTCCAAGTGAACTCTTTTTCCTGTGAGATGTAATTAATGTTGTTTACTCTGGAAGTGAGTCAACTTTTATCGCTGAATTCTTTCTACTGACTATGACTTGTTTGAGTGTAATTAACAGCACATATCCTGAGTATACAGGATATTTTTTATTAATTTCATTTGGTAGGGCACTGATCTGGATATAGCCTTCTGTGACATTAAAGAGGTCACCTGATTCTATTAGCACAGCACTGTTGTATGTCATTGTTGTAAGGTAAAACTTTGTCACAGGCTGGACTGCAGACTGTGTGGAGGTTGTGATGTGGACCCAAAAGCAGACAACGCAAAGACTGAACGTAACAAAAAGCAAGCCTTTATTGTGACTGATTCAAAACCAAACGAGAAAATAAACTAGGCAAGAGCTGATCATAAAACCTAAACTGGGAAAACTAAGACATGGAAATATTTGGATAACTTGAAGACATGGAAACACAAAGGATGGTTAACAGACAGCCTGAAAGAGGACCAATTACAACTCACACCATAAATCTTAAGAGGAAACACACGGGGCGGATAAGCAAGACGGAGACAAGAATACACGGCTTGACACGAGGCTGGGAGGAGGGAATGCACAAGGGTAACAAGAAAGACTGGGGAGACAAAGGGAGGAGACACAAAGAGTGAAATACAGAAAAATTAAGATGACACAAAAGGAGAGGCGAGAGGACAGGACAGGCTGGAAAAAACATACACAAAGACAGACAGGGGAGACATGGAATAAAACACAAGGAGGGAAACATGTAAACAGAAAAGGGGGATCAGGCACATCGACAACAGAAATAGAAGCAAAACCACGACTAAACTCAGTGCTAAATAACAGAAAACTACAACACTTTAACCTCTGGATGTAATGCAGACTAAATCTTTATTAACGTTGCTGCTTTTTTAACTTGATGCTGGTCTTATTTTCATTGCCATTCAGTGTCTTTCCCATTACACACAAACTTTGTTTTCTTAGTTTGTGGACAGAACACAAGTCTGCTCATTGATAGTTTAACCTTTACTCCTGTCTCAGCATTTTAGACAGATTGTTCTTGACTGGCTCACAGTATTTATGGTTAATATTATAAATTAAACACAAAAAAACTACAGCTGTGAAAATATGTATGTGAAAGTATTTCTGTAGGTTGTCTGAAAGTGCGAGTGTAACGTGTATAACAGCAGTCCTGTCACAATGTTCGTCTGTTTCAGGCGTAGGAAATTATTTATACGTCAAACTTTTTAATAATTATGCAATGCAAATTGTTTAAAGCAAACATTATTTAAACAGTCGGCAAAAGTTAACTAAGAATTTTGTCTAAATTCTAAATAATGGAGCTAAATTAAGTTTAAGCACAGTCAGCTTTCTTTTGTTTATCTGCTTCAAATGTTAAAGTAATTTTAATGAAATTTAAATTTAAATGTATGCATTAAAAAAACAAACCTATTTATTTAGAAGGTTATTATTTGAATGCACCCATTTCAGGTCCTTTTGTAAAACTAAAAGCTGTCCTTACACCAGTGAATGAATGCTGTGGTCTTTGTTATTGTCATTTATTTCTGTCTGTAACAGACAGATCCCCCATCCTACTACAACACTTGACACAATTTCACTGTACAGCTGGGTCTTTTACCTCAGCTGTTTTCTGGTTTAGAAAGTAGAATCACATAATCAACAGCTGCATGTTTTAACTATTAGGTAACTATTTGTATACAGTATGTCATTGTCACCACTGCATTTTCTCCCCCTTATTTGGCTCTGAATATCAGGGGCAGTCTTTGCAGAGATGCCCAGAGCACCTCCAGCTCATTCAGGGAGACTAGTTCCCAAACCAAACAAGAGGTATAATCTCTCCAGCATGTCAGGGGTCTGCTCTGTGGACTCTTCCTGGTAGGACATGCCCCTGAATGTCTCACCTGGGTGACGATGAGGGGGCACTTGTCAGATGCTCAGACCACATCAACTAGCTCCTTTCGATGTGGAGCAGGAACAGCTCTACCCTGAGCTCCTCCCAAATGACTGAACTCATCCTCTCGGATGAGGAGGAAGTTCATTTTCACTGCTTGCACCTAAGACCTCATGTGACCTCAGGTCATCAATAGCTGTCTGCCACACCACTGACACTCTACCGTTCCTGTCTGTCAGTTTCGGCTCCACTCTCACTTCACTCATGAACAAGACCCAGATAATCCCAAACTCCTCCATTTGGGCCATCAACTCCTCCCAGAGTGGGCAAGCCAGCCTTTTTCAACCACTCTGCAAATCATCCTAGTGCACGCTGGATGTCACCTCTTGATGAGGTCAGAAGAACCACAAGTCTGATCCTGCCAGAGACCATCTGCCACTTTGCTGCAACTGGACATGTATGAACAGAATCAGTGACAAAAGGAGCCCTGGTGAACTCCAACTCTCACCAAAAACAGGTCTGACGTACTGCCAGCAATGAAAACCAAGCTGTCACTATAGATGGACAAGGACCAAATGGCCCATAATAATTGGCTATTCATCTCAATTTAACCCTAACCCCTTCCTGAAGAAGTTGGCCACAATCCCAGTCGATCAATTCAGAGACACTGTCCTCAGCCTCCAAGCGAAGTTACAGAGTGTTAGTAAGACAGCCCTGCAACATCTAGGACCTTAAGCATAGTTTATGGTCCTGCAAACGCGTCCATCTAACATACATTCGCATTTGGACAGGGGGGGAGGTTTTCAGCCACCCTAGACATGCTCCCATGTAGTCTTCCAAAGTACTAAGTGCGTGTTGCTGGAAGCAGATAACCTGTGCATCTGCCAAATGCTACATTCAGGGGCATGTCCTACCAGGAAGAGTCCACAGGGCCTACTTGGTTAAAACAGCAGATTTCAACAGGAATGGGAGGAGGACAAAAGAAATTTCAAAGATCAACATATGCTGTTTTAGACCAGCAACTGGTCCACAGGCCGGTTGTACCACATACTTTGCATGACTCAGATGCAGGCAGATGATCCATTCTCCGTCTGCCAGCAGGCTGAGTAATAATACCTCTGCTGGGCCACAAATTCCACTCCAAGGGACTCACTGTGAATTTTTACTGCAGTCCTAAGCTGGATAGGACTACTTTTTCATCTCGATGGCTCTCTTCACCACCAGTGTACATCTGAACCTTCTGGTTCTGGGGTTAATACCATGACATCTTACAGCCACAGTTCTACACGCACTAGCTCAGGCTCCTTCCCACCAGAGAGGTGACCTTCCATGTTCCTAAAGCCAGAGTTGTCAGCTAGGGACTGGAACACCAGCACCTCCTCTCCAAAGCCTTCAGTGCTATGATCGACTGTGCACCAAGTGCTAGCATCAAATGCCTAAAGCACCACCTGCGAGCGGTGAGCCAACAGAAGGGTGGGCCCACGTAATGCTTTGGCCTAAGGCCCAGCCACCAGGGCAGGCTCCAGACTGCCAAATCTACAAACTTGGTCACATCAAGGAACTGAAGCACTAATATTTCTTGAATTGTAGTCACTATGAAGATTTCTTCAGCCACATTTTTAAGTACTGCTGTGGCTTCATAGTGTAGTGGTTTTATACATTTAAACAAATCCCTTGGAGGTTGCAGGAGGAAGAGCATCCAGTGTAAAAATCAGCCAAATTAAATATGGAGACCTACCCACTGTGAAAAATCCTTGTGAATAGGGGAGCGTTTGTTTATTGTGGTTTGGAGGAAGAGTACAAAACATTACTGACATGTTTAGTGTTAAAAAGCAGCTCAACTGTTAGAATATGTTCGTCCTAAGAGACGTTGTGTTAATGCAGCTACAGGTGAAAAAAGCAAGGTGTATTTGACATATGCTCATCTTACTGAGGAAATATTGTTGTATGTTAAAGCTGTATTTTATTGTAGTTGGTACTGCTAAATGTGCTATATTAAAGGCCAAGTTGTATAAATGTATCGTCTGATTTTCTTGTCTAACCATTAAAAATAAATAATGAAAAAAACATAATTTTTATGCAGGAATTCAATCACTCATTTGATCTAAAGCAAACATACTAAACTGTGGTTAACATGAGTGAATTAAGACATTTCTACTCAAAATAATTGAGATAAAATTACCACTTTAATCATTTTCACAAACATTAAGCGTACTAGAAAAAATATATCTGGATTTAGACGATTTTCTGTTGTGCGTGTGAATAAAAATTCCAGCTCAGCTTTTCCATTGTACATGTAAGTCATGCAATATTTTTACCAGTAAATATGTTGTTTTTATTGTCTTCAGCTATGGAGGAGCTGGATGGAGATGAGGTCAGAGTTTCCTCCAGGGGACGCTTTGCTGAGAGAGACATCGTCCAGGTGCACTGTATAAGATATATCCACTCTTATTTGGTGTTTATCAGTATAAAACTATGTAGAATTATTTTTTATCAACTGTCCAGGATAAAACCCGAATCAAAACTCAATCAAATGTATTTAACCTTCTTACCAGCAAAACATTCTAGTGATGTCAACAAATGTATAGATGTTTATGAGAAAAACACTCTTTGCATGTTTGATCTGTCTCGAGTAAACGCGTTTCTGATAAGTTTATTGTCTCATTCACCGGTTTTAAAGTCATATTGTATATACCATGATATTCATTTGTAAATTAAGGTCAGAAAGGAGGATGAGACTGGTGATGATCACTGGCAATTTGTTAGCCAACAATCTCAGCTTTTTCTTTCATTTATGCTCACAATCAGAGCTGTTTGCCTGAATATTAAAGACATTTCCTTTCACTGACATAAGAAAGATCCAAGACCAGAATATTATTATTTATTGTTCAATATGAGCATCATCGACTAGAATAGGATATAGAGTATAAATGGACTGGTTCTTATCTAGTACTTTTCTGCTTACCTGATGCATGAGAGAGTAACTTGAATGCACCCGACATGGGGTTAGTATCTTGCCCAATGATATTTGGCTTGCAGACCAACCTTCTGATTAGTAGATGACCCGCTGTGAGCTCTAACCACCCCCAGTGTAGGACAGGAAATAAGGAAAAACAGAATAGTTTTCCTTTGAGTGCGTTTCAGTTGAAGTGGAAAAAGCCTGTGAGGCATAAGTCGTCAGTAACAACGATGATGACTTACATCCTAGCTCCACACTATCAAAATATATGATTTTTGAAAACTGTTGAAAAAATGTTTATGTCTTGACAACTAGGGCAAAAACCCCAACATTTTCAGATACATGAAAATTTACTTACAGTTTATGATTTACTGTGTGATTTTTTGGCAGGTCATTTTTTGTGAATATTTCAATCTTAGAGCAAAAAAATGTTACCAACGATAATCTGAAGCCTCACAGTTTGAGCTTGATGTACTGTTATGTCAATACATCTGCAACATTAAAAGTAATAACTCCTCAACTGTATGAAAGCGTATTAGCAGCACCTTAGATGCTGAAGGAACCTACAAACACCAAATGAACTGAACAGTCACTTTTGCCTCCGATCCAGTTTGTTCCTTTCCGGGACTACATCGACCGGTCAGGGAACCAGGTCCTGAGCATGGCCCGACTGGCTAAGGATGTCCTGGCAGAGATCCCTGACCAGCTGCTGTCATTCATGAAGAGTCGGGGGATTGAACCCCGCCCCCCCCTGCCCGTCACCTCCGACTCCCCCTCAGTGTCCACCACAACTGCAACCAATACGTCTACGACCAAGCACTGCAACCCTCACCCCTGAGAGAAGGACAGCAGGCAGAGTGGAGCAAGCTGTTTGGGCAAAGGGAAGTGTGTGTGTGCATGTGTGTGTGTAGGTGTGTTCTGGGGTTTTCAAGGTTATCTGACAGAAACCAAATCAGTAAACTGAACCTAAGAATTCCTTCTGAAAGCACTGACTACGAGGATTCCTCTGCAAGACATGTACAAGAAGCATAGAGAATAGATTTTTAAATCTTTTTTTATGTTTCTGATTTTTTGTCAACATCTGTCACAAACACTCTCCAGGTATAACACACGATTCTGCACAGACACACGGGCTCCATTCAAATCTATTGTTTCCTTTGTGTGTTGTAATCCACTATGGACGCTTTATTGACCTTTCTTGCAAAGGTGGGAAGTCAAAAGATTCTACTACTGGTCTTGTTCACAGTCTGCCGTAATAGAATAATAAATGCTGTAGCAGCCATCTAAACTGATTTCTATCAGCTGTGAAGAAAGACAGCTCTGAGGGTGATATCCTGTCCTTATTTGCTTATTCTCAGGGTGTTTCAGTGGCTATTAAATCATGTCTTGGTTCTTGCAACTGAGGCCCAAGGAACACTGGCTCTTTTCTTAAAATTATATGCTGTCTATTACTGTAGAAAATGAAACTTTTGTTTTAGTTTACTTTAGCAAAGGCATGGAAATTGCTCTCCTTTTCAAAGACACTGTTAGAAGACAGGGCAAGTTTAAAGTTAAAATCCCCCATGGACATGAAGAGAGTTGCTTGTGAGCACCTCCTGAAAGGAGTAAACATACAAGGGTATGAAACCAGCCATCCCCTGCTCCTCTGCACCTGCAGCCGCTGTACAATTTGAACATATGGAAGGGCAGATCATTTCAGCCCTGGTTAAAAAGTCGAACATAGCCGTGTCTGTGAGCTCTGTCCCCAGTCTTCTTCTAAACTGTAAATCTCCTGGCTGTGGCTGTCATTTGGGATGAATCATGCATGAGGAAGGTGCCTCTGGTACCTATTTAAAATGAAAAGGGTTTCCCATTGCAGATTTTACAGGCCAGAAAACTTCAAATGTAGCAAAGAAAATGTGTGGGAAGAGTGGGAAACACCAAGAAGAAGAAGAAATCGAATGTGAGGTTTGGTACTTAGTGCTGCATTGTTCAGTTTGCAAACTTTATCTTCATCATGCATGCCGAATTCTTGTTTTTTTTTCTTCTCATATCCTGTATTTTTATTTTCCTTGCTTTTGTTGTGTGCATGAATGATTTAAGCAAAAGAGAGCAAGTGCTTGAACAGAAAACCTAAATCTTTCATTGGCAGTCCCAAAGAGCCCAACACACTGCAGCTTACAAGTACACAGACAAAACAAATGCAAGAATAAAGCAGGAAAAACCAGCTGCTGTGTGGCCAAGAAATAGGATAAAATGCAACAAACATTAATCATTATTAAAATATTATTATTCATCACTTCAGTCCTGGCTTGATTTTGTTAACCCCATTGTTTCTGTTTCCGGTGTGTTTAGTTTGCAGTTCAAAGACAGGCTACACGTGAATGTTGCTAGTAAAAAGGTGCACAGTGCTAGAATTACAAACAAATAGTTTGTTAGGACTTCTGTCCTGAAACTCCAGCATATTGAAGGAAAGAGGATCTGCCACTGCATTAGAAACACTTGATCAAACTTGGTATATCACTAGCTAAGAAGTGGAGAGACGTAATGAGACAAGATGAGGTCAAATTAAATAAGATATAAGAGAAAAGTATTTGATTTTGTGCAGTGTGGGTTCTGTCCAGTAGCATATTTGTATTAGGATGTGTTTTTAATTATTACAATGGATTTCTGTATTTATTGTATATGTTGTAAAATGGCTCCATTTCATTGGTGTTTATTTTGTCCATTTTCATCTATATTCTAACATTTTAGCCTTCTGAGTTTTTGCAACGACACTATTTTTGCTGTTAGGTGGGCTCTTTTTTTGGTACCACTCCATAAAACAAATACTGTGAAGTTTCATCAATTTTCTTTTGTCTCTGACTTTTTTATGTAGGGTTAGCAGCAGTTTTAGAATGTTCAACCTGGCTGTGTCACGAAAACAGAAACAATAATAACAACAACGAATGGATTATATGATATTTATCTGGATTACTGAGTATTTGTCACATTGTATCAGAAGGGAAATGGACATGTGGCCTTATTTCTGTCATAATCCTGCAAGTAAGTGTGAGGGAGGACTCTATTTTTATATGACAACACCAGGAAATATGTTATTTTGCATGCTTATATGGCTGTTATGCTGCTAATGATTGTACTATCTGTATTCATATCTGAAAATGATTTCAGACAACATTCCTCTGTGTGTTTACTTGTGTACTGTGCAGAATCAATCCTTCTATTTCTGACTGCCAGCCTAATAATCCAGCACATAACAGATATATGAAAAGTAGGGTAGATTTGTATCAAACAACGTTTAAAACATGCATGTTTGTGTTATGACTATATGTAAACAAACCCAAAGTCACATAACCTGTTGGATATTTTTGTATGAAGCATGCTGAGCTTTCTACACAGTGTGTACAGGATGAGGTTATTATATACTGCTCACCAGTTCCATTTGTTATGTAGAAGCTGTGTGTAAACATGTTAAAGTGTTGTACAGAATATTTTGTGAAGTCTTCCTTCTTTCCATTTTTTCACTCTGTTCCAAATATTTCTTTTATTTTTGTTTCCACTTGTGTTGGTCAAAGTTTTTAATTTTGTCACTGTTTTCTAGCTTTTGCTTAAAAACCAAATAAAGATATTATTGAAGGCTGAACTGTAATCTTGCTCACTGTTTTACAGTAATTGCTGTGTTAAACTTCACTTACATCGCCTTTGTTTGTTTGTATTTTTAACTCAAAGATAAATTAGACCAACATCTTTTTTTTTCAAGCAATGATGAAAAATTGTTATTATTTATATATTTGTAAAGGGGCCAAATTATTTCAAATTTATGTACATTTTATACTTATAATCTGCATATTGTATCTATTTTCAAATTATTAAACTTTATGTAACTATATTTTGATTAGCCTCTTTTAGTTATCAGCTGAAGACAGAAGAAAAGTAAAGGGGGAGGTGTATTTGGAGTCAGTGAGACAGAAAAAAGGGCGGGAGTTTGGAGATGTGAGTAGTGACTTTAAAAAGTAAAGACTATGACTAGTAAAGGGAGAGAGCTGGGTGATATGAAGGAGAGAAGGAAGACAGATATATTGTGTGTGCGGGAGAAGGGAAGTAGAGCCAGGAGCATTGGACGTGGATTCAAACTCTATTACTACAGTGCAGATAGGAAATGAAATGGAGAACGGGGAATCTTGAAGGAGTGCTATGGAGTTGAATGTCAGACAGGATCATGAACTTGAAGCTGGAAACTAATGGGCGGATGTCAGAAATTGTCTAGGAAATCATGAAATCATGAAGAAGAAGTGAGTGAATGCAGTGGCAAGGATTAAATGGAGGAAGTGAAGAAGGAAGAATGCTTTGCAGAGTTTAGTGGTGAGTTAAAACAGGCTCAGGAAGGTAGGGAAGAATATTCAGATGACTGGGAAAGTACAGCTAAAGTGGTGAGAGAAACTGCCCAAAAGCGGCACGTGTTTCCTCTGAGCATAAGAAAGAGGACAAAGAGATGGTGGTGATGCATCATTTGCTAGGCAGAGAGATGAAGTTAGAAAGGATGTGCAGCAGGTTAGAGTGATTAAGCATGGAGACAGAAATATAATAAGAGTGTGCTGAGAATATGGGAGGAGTGCCTTGATGAGTTGATGAATAGAGAAATTGAGAGAGAAGAGGACAAATGTCAGACAGTTAGTGAATTAGGAAGTGCAGAGGATTAGTAACGAAGATTAGAGTGGAAGGGTGCCGATGATATACCTGTGGAGGAATGAAGAAGGCAACGGACTTTAAGCTACGGAAAAAAGTTTTTGAAGCTAAATGCGAAGAAGACAAGTTACAGTCAGTGAGCAGCACTATGGCAAGAGTGAAAGGGAACGTTTACTAGACAGTAGTGAGACCGGCTATGTGTGGTTTGGAGATGGTGAAGGTGAAGCTGGAGGAGGCAGCACTGAGGATGCTAAGATTTTCAGTGGGAGTGACCAGACCAAGAGTATAGAGAAGGACGGCTCAGGTAGAGTGTTTTGGAAAGGTAAATGGTAAATGGCCTGTATTTATATAGCACTTTACTTAGTCCCTATGGACCCCAAAGCGCTTTACACATCCAGTCATCCACACATTCACACACTGGTGATGGCAGCTACATTGTAGCCACAGCCACCCTGGGGCGCACTGACAGAGGCGAGGCTGCCGGACACTGGCGCCACCGGGCCCTCTGACCACCACCAACTGGTCAGAGGGCACCAACTTTGGAGTCATAGTTAGCGAGGCAGGCTCAGATCATCTGGACTTGTGCAAAGAAGAGATAGTGGATATGGAAGAAATAAGAACACAGAGTGGATTTAGGGATGGAGGACACGCAAACAGTTGGTGTGACAGATTAGGATGCTGGGTATAGGGTGAGATGGAGACAAATGATCCACTGTGGCGAACATTAAAGGGAGCAGCTGAAAGAAGGGGAAAAAGATAGCAGTGACTTAACATGCTGTTTTATTTGTACTGTTCATGTTTTTTTAAAGGGAAAATAAACATTATTAGCCCAGTGGATGATTCTCAAATCTTGTCCCTTGATCAGAGTCTACATTACGTTTTAAACGAACATATTAAATGTGGGTTCTCTCCAGGTAGTCCGGCTTCCTCCCACAGTCCAAAGACGTGCAGTTACTGAGGTTAGGTTAAATAGGGATTCTAAATTACCCATAGGTATAAATATGAGTGAGAATGGTTGTCTGTCTCTCTGTATTAGCTCTGCAGCAGACTGGTGACCTGTCCAGTGTGTACCCCTCCTCTCACCCAATGATAGCTGGGATAAGCTCTAACCCCGAGCTAGGGTTGCCAAATCTTTAATTATCAAATAAGAGACACTCTGGTGTGCCAGAAGCACAATCCACAACCAGCTGGGTAGTGTAAATATGCACTATGTGACGGTGCAGGTAACGGTCAATATATGTGACATTTAAGGTAGACTAAGGAACCAGACACCAGGGGCCATTTTGGCTTCATTTTGGGGGCGATGTTAGGTCGTCCATGTGTGTCAAAAAACTAAAAGAATATACACAAATTGATCAGAACAGGTCTGTAATGTTTTCTCTTAGGAGAAAAATGTTGTTTTATACTGCTACACTGCCACTTAGTGGAAGAAATACGAACTAAAAACTGTACCAAACTGGAAACGGGAATTTCCCAAGTTTTGGATTCACTTTTCAGTTAAAAATAAATAAATAGTGTAGAATGGTTATCTTAAATGTATTATTGATAATAACCAATCCGCACAAATATCCAATACTACACTATCCACATCACAATTTCACTATGGCATATTCTTGCTGCCTTCAGGTACTCCTCGTGGTTCAAACCATTACATTTAAGGGCAGCAGTATATATTGCACTTTTTGACCCAACGACATTTGGTTGTCCCTCTGTTAATAGCAGACTGTAAGTTTAGCTATCAGCTGTGGCTTTATTCGTTTTCTTAAATGTAAGGCTTCTGTGCAGAAAACTGAAGAGAAGTTCTATCGACCTTGACAAAGCTTTGGTAGTTGCTAACTACCAAAGCTTGTTGGTTCATCCACCCCTAAGTTGAAATTTCAATACTGCCCCTGAACGCAACACTAGGCCCACTGGAAACCGTGTAGTGGCTCCATGGATCATATCCATTTAGTAGGGCGGGCCTTTTCCCGTGTCGCTGCTACAGGGATACCAAGATGGAAATCCAGGGGCTTTCTGATGCCCAAAACATTCAGTCTCAACATGGCGCCCTACACAGAAGCATTTCGTCTCCACATCGATCGGCAACGGGGTCAATACCTCATTTTATTTCCAGCGAAAATGAAGCGGAAGTGCTGCTGGAGTCGCTTGAGCTACACAGCGACAACAACAACAACACTAGGCCGAGAACATCGCCGTTTCGCCTACTGGCGGAAAATGGCAGCGAGGTGGCTTGTTCGCCTGTCAGCGCACCGCAAACTACGCTTAAAAGCAATTTGCCGGGTAACAGACCGGGCGTGGGATTTCATAACGTGAACCCGGAGAAGGAAAATGAGCTCAGTGCCCTACTAGCTTCACAGGAGTTTGTCAAGACAGCCTGGAAATACGGATTAGAAAGCGGGGATGTTGTAATGCAAATGGCGCTGCCTCTCTTTGAAGGGGAAGAGGAACCGATGCCGCAGCGGCAACCAACGTTTCCAGTTTTACGGCAGCAGCGTGAGGACGGCTCCTGCAAACAGCCCTCAGTAGCCAGCCATAGCGCTGCGGCGCTGGGGAACTTGAGCACGGTAAACCTGGCGGAACAAACCACCCAGGAGTTTTATGTTCTTTTTAATGTCGTTCAAGACGAAGGCAGCGGCGAGACAAGTAAACAGCGCCCGGATGTGCCTGAGGATGGCGATCAAATGAAAGGTAAAAAGCAGTGTTCCAAAGCAAGTCCCTGTGGCCCCATGGAGGCTGGAAACCGCAGTAACGTTGTTTCATGTGAATCTAATGACACTTTGAACTGCCTCGATACACAGGGCTTGAAACCTGAGCATGTTTTCAATTTACTGAACGATAATCCCGCGGCGGGTAACGTTAAACAGACTGCCTACCACCCCACCGTCGAAGACGTTGTTTTGACAAACAAATATGGCGATAGGATTTGTGGCCAGATGTGCACCGAAAGCAGCGAAGGTAAACTGGTCAGGGAGCTCTCGTCGCAGCCTCGCGTTGACGAGAGCAGTACCTTGATTTCAGGGACTGCGGGGATCGTGGAAGCCATGGACACATCGGACTTTGGTACAGATTCAGCGGCGGCGCAGGGCAGTACAACCCCGGTCACGGCCTCCACAAGTCCGCCTGCTAGCGAAACATTTTCCGGAACTATCACGATAAACAACCAAAGCATCATAGTGACTATTGAAAACGGGGTACTAACTCTTGCTGCCCCACCCGAGGGCTATGTACATAAGGAGGATGACATGGTTAGCTTAAAGGAGCACTTAGGAATGAAAGATCATGAAGATATTGTTCTCCTCAACTATGACAGTGGTACTAAATCGATCGGGAAGATCAGCACACTGGCAGTAGCCAGTTCCAGCCATCAGGAAGAGCCCACACCTGGTTTGTCTGTCAGCGACTCAGAGCTGGCTCTGGTGGATGACTGCTCCCTGTCAGAGCTAGGTACTTCACTGGACTCCTGTGCCAAGCAGGAGGCAGGGTCACTATGTGCAGTAACAGAAGCAGATATGGGCCCTCCTCCTCCCGAAGCCGCTGTAGCTGGCTGTGACAATGAAGAGTGTCACTCTGTACCAGTAATCAGGTCCAAGAAAGACACCGTGTCCACCTTTGACTGCCCAGAACCAGGCTGCCCCTCCACATTTGACACACGACAGAAACTCAAGGTTCACCTCCTAAACCATGCTGAGGACCCACGTCCATATCAGTGCACTGTGGAAGGCTGCGGCTGGGCATTTGCCACCTCCTACAAGCTGAAGCGGCATCTCCAGTCCCACAACAAGCAGCGGCCACATACGTGCCAGTTTGAAGGCTGTGGGCGGCGTTTTACCACTGTCTACAACCTCAAGGCTCACGTCAAAGTCCACGAGCAGGATAACGCCTTTGCCTGCGAGGTTTGCAACGAGAGGTTTCGCAGTGCTACCCGGCTCACCAACCATCAGAGGGTCCACTTTGAGCCACAGAGGCCTCACAAATGTGAATTCCCAGGTAACTCATAC